GCCCTGGCCACCATCCACCAGACCCCCTGCCCTAGTCACCCAGAGCCGTACCAGACTCTAGGGACAGCCCTGTGCCCCCAACCTGAAATTACTCAGTAGCCAGTGCTAAGCTGCTCTCTCTTCAGGAAACCACAATAAAAGCCCTTGCCCACCTCCCAATCCTCTGACTGTTCTGGTGCTTCCCTTGTACCCGCCCAGCGTCCCAGTGTGCACCCCTCCTCCTGGGAACTGTGACATACTATCTTTTCTGTGGCAACTGGCTTCCTGATACATTGCCTGACCAAACGTCAAATACTCTATTTATTCGCCACATTTATAAACAACTACTTCATTTACCAAACCTTCCTGCACTTCCTCTATGCCAGGCCTGTCCTAAGTGCTCTAGAAACAACCATGCCATCCCCACACGGCCCGATGCAGTGGGAGTGTCACACCCTGTTTCAGAGATGGGGTACACCGAAGCACAGAAGCTAAGCACCTTGCCAGAGACACGCAGCTAGAGTGCTGAGCCACGATTCAAACCCAGGCACTCTGGCTGTGGAGTCCTTGCTTTCGATATTCCTCTGTGCTACTCTCCGTGATCCAGCCTGGATCTAGAATAGTAACCAAGGGAAATGAAGCTGAGCTCAAATTCCTCATTAGCCCACCACCCTGCCTGTGCACATGCGGTGCGCTGCGGGCTCAGGGATTCTCCTCCTCTGCCTCTCAGCACTGGCCGGCTGGCTGGTCCCACCGTCCGAGTCTAAGTCCAGGTCCAGAGCGCACACCTCCGCACACCCAGCCTGTAGTGCTTTTCCTTGTACGCACTCTGCTCACCTCGCCCCAGGAGATTCCACAAATTGCACCCTGGTATTTGTATTAAAGAGGAACTCACCCAGCCTGGAAGTGGCAAGAGTTGCCAGGAACAGAGCATAGAGCCACATCGTGGAACTGCAGCAGCTCCCAGGATCTGTGAGCTGTCCGCGTCTAGGTGCTGTGCGGAGAGGATGCGCCTTCCCGCCCAGAGCCTAGCCGCCCTGGAGTTGCCTCACCCAGCCAAGGATCTAACAGGGATAAGAGAGAACTCTCTCCACTACCAAAATCTCCCTGGACTTCTGATGGAACCTCCAAGACATGCCGACTCAGTTCAGCCTTTTATATAACAGTCCAGACTGAACTCTCAGATTACAGTTAGCCACAACTTGCCAAACAGCTTGTTACATAAGGGTTTCTTCTTTGTGGGTCCTAACCTTCCTGGCTGGGAGCTTCCCAAGCCAGGCACAAGCAGGCAGATGCTTAGGCAAGGGGGAGCAGGTCCCCAGAACAGGCTCAGAAATATGCACACAACTCACAGCCCCACAACTGCTCAGCTGGCAACTTAGGACGCATTCTTAGCTCCCTGGGCTGTAATTTATAGAGTTCTAGGCTCTCGACTTTAGAGCGATTTTAAATTCCATCCAGTCTCCTAATACCTAAAGTTGCTTTAACAATTTCTGCCAACTGACAGGCTCCTGTCACACACCTCCAGGTCAGGGAATTTGCTACCTTTCAAAGAAGGATTTTTGGACAGAGTAAAATGAACTTTATTTCTCCACAGTGCCCGGCTATACCATCCATACATCTATTCGTTCTTTGAACATTTATCACAATGCCTGGTACTTGCTGGTGTTATGGATACACAGGTAAACTCAGACATGGTTCATCTTATCAAGCAGCTCACCATTAGTAGTAAGACAGATTTGGGGGGGGGGGTTCAATGCATGTGAAAGCACAAATTAGGGGGATAACAAAGTGCTCTGGGTATACCTGGGAAAGTGCCATTTACAACTGCTGGGGACAAAAGAAAATGCTCAAAACATCTTCCAAAGATCATAAATATCTTCGATAGCGAATTTGTTAATACACTCTGGTACTGGCAAGGATATTACGTACTCACTCAAATTAGTGATGCACATGTCTATATTATGACAAGGAAGACAGTCATGATTTAATGCAAAAAGGCCAAAAACAGGTGATAAACTGTTGTGCCTGCTTTGGAAACAGTTTCACGGTTCCTGGAAGTTAGAGCAGAGTTACTGTATTACCTGGCATTCTACTCCTAGGTAGATTCTCAGAACTTGAAAATGTGTTCATACAAAACTTATACTCAATAGTACTACCATTCATAAATCCAAAGAGGAAACAACCCAAATGCTCATCAACTGATGAATGCATGAATAAAATGAGTGTTTCCACAGCATGAAACATCATTCAGTCATAAAAGAACATGCCACAATGTGATAAAACTTATAAACATTAGCTAAGTGAAAGAAGCCAGGCACAAAAGATACATATTGCGTGATCATTTTATTTTATAAGACATTCCAGAAATAACAAGTCAACAGACAAAGAGTAGATTAGTGGCTGCCAGGGGCTAGGGAAGAGGAAATAGGGGGATGCAGAGTGACTGCTAATGAGCATCAGTTCTTTTGGGTGGTAAAATGTCTGATTAGATTGTGGTGATATTTGCACAACTTTGTGAATATACTAAAAGCACTGAACTCTACACTTTAAAAAGCTGAATTTTGCAGAATCTGGGGAGAGTCAGTGTTTATCTGCCATGAAGGTGGCAAGAGCAGCCCTACAACAGCCCATGAAGCAGGCCAGGAAGATGCACAAGGAAACAAGGTGTCAAGCAAGAGAAAAAGAGGAGCAGAAGAACTGAGAGGTAAAGTGAAGTCTATGGGAAGGCGCCCTGGCCAGGAGAAGAATTAAATCTGGTGTAATAAGTACACATTTTGCCAGAGCTCTGGCGACTTTGATTCCTAAACATCTGTGTTAATCACATGCCATGACACCTTCTGCCCCTATACTAAATATGTTCTGAGCTATGACTAGATCACTTCTGTAAAGTATTTTATGGCATGTGAATTATATTCAATAAGAAACATTTTTAAAGTCATCATGTAATATGACCCATTTTAGTAGTAACATATTTATTTGCATAGGAAACTTCATAAGGTTATATGTCTAATTAGCATCACAATACCATTTCTTGGCTGTAACACTGTGAGGTTTCTTACTTATTGTGTTTCCATATTTTGTCATATACATACTTACACTTCATATTCATTGACAATACTGCGAGCTTACTGTGCAGCAGGCACGGGCTGTGTTTTGTATGCAGGGTCTCAGTCTCAAAACTACCCTGTGAAATTAATACTAGCATCTCCTGAAGCTCAGTGTGGTTAAGGACCTGGCCCAAGACGCACATGAAATAAGAGAAGAGCTGAGACTGACCAGCTTCGTGGCTGCACAGCCCATACTCTAAGCACTCTGCTTCTGTGTCAAAAATTATTGAAATCAATTTTGTTGTGCCCCAAGCACATGCTTGATGCCTGGGGGATGCCATGGAGCCTCTCTCTCTGGTTTTCCTCTGCCTCCCTGCTCTCCTGTTGAGCCACTCTGGATCCTCACAGGCTGCCAGGAAGATGGCAACATGGAGCTACTCAGAGGGCAACAGATAGTTGAAACAGAGTCGTAGGTTCTTGGAACATAAATACCTTAGCTCCTCACAACCACTTGTGAGTGACTTTGCATCTGCATTCTGTTCCCACAGTTTCCTCTTAGGACTAAAGCCCGGGACCCAGATGGAATGACCTCATAAAGACCCTTGACTGGCTTTTCTTCTACCTCAACTTCCTTCTCCTGTCCCTGTCTCCTGCTCGTGCTTCAATCCCTATCTCAGGTTTGCTTCTGGGGAAGACAAAGGGTCCGAGCCCTTAACCCAAATGACCTATGTGGTCTGTTATGGGTTGGAACTGGTCCAGCCAAAATTCATATGGGGCAACCTAAACCTCGGTACCTAAGAATGAGACCATAGTTGGAGACAGGACTTTAAAGAGGTGACACATTAAATAAACTCACTAGAGTGGACCCTAATCCAGTCGACTGGTGTCCTAACATGAAGAGGATTTGTATCCAGACAGATGCCAGGAACTGAGCACAGAGGGGTACCATGTGAACATCAGCAAAGGTGGCTCCTGCAAGCCCACATTATGCAATTTAATCCCATACAATGATATTTATGATATACTCATCAATGAGCAAAGCAGGCTTCCAAGCTATCTGTATAGATGCCATTTTCCAGGGAGAAATTATACAACACGTAAAGGACTGGGAAAACATCACCTAAAGTATAGCAATTCTCTCTGAGTGGTGGAATTATACATGGTATTAATTTTCTTACTTTTCCTTCTCTGTATTTCCTAAATTTTCTGTGAGAAATATGTTGAATTTGCAATGAGAAAATAAAACAGGGAATTTTTCTTTTCTTGAGACAGAATTTTAAAGAGAAAGAAAGAGAGGCCGGGCGCAGTGGCTCTCGTCTGTAATCCCAGCACTCTCAGAGGCCTAGGTGGGTGGATCGTTTGAGCTCAGGCATTTAAGACCAGCATGAGCAAGAGCCAGATCCCACCTCTACTAAAAAAAATAGAAAGAAATTAGCTGGACAACTAAAAACTTATATAGAAAAAATTAGCCGGGTATGGTGGCGAATGCCTGCACTCCCAGCTACTTGAAAGGCTGAGGCAGAAGGATCGCTTGAGCCCAGGAGGTTGAGGTTGCTGTGAGCTAGGCTGACGCCATTGCACTCTAACAGGGGCAACGAAGTGAGACCTAGTCTCGAAAAAAAAAAAAAAGAGAGAGAGAGAGAGAAAGGAAAGGAAAGAAGGCAGTCAGAGTTAGGATCCAGGAAATTGTCAGAAACGCCTTGCTGAGGACATAAATAATGCCGGGTTTGATGCACACAGGTGTCCGAGGTGCCCAGGCTGGGGAGCTGTGAGGCCAGCTGGAAGCTTGGGCTGTTTGCCCAGCTTGGCCAGGCAGGCAGGGCATAGCCACCATTGCTCTGCTCGAGAATAAGTAACTAGACACACTTGGGAGAGCTCCGCAAGTCAACACCCCACTTACACACTTCTCCTCACGCACCCCACCCCCAACTGTGTCAAAGTGCAAGTCAGAAGAATGAATAGGATTATTACTTTTGATCGTCTGTTCAACTGCTTTTTTTTCCCAAAGCACTTATCACCTTGTAACAGCATATTATTCATTTCATAATTTGCATATTATTCATAATCTGTTTCCCTCTGCTAGATCACAAGCTCCATGAAGCTAGGAATCTTTGTTTTGTTCACCAATGGATCCCAAGACCTGGAACATACATGCCTGGCACCAGTAGGTGTTCAATAAATATGTGTTGAATAAAGGGCTCTAGAAACTTGTGAGAGTTCTGGAATGTTCTTAAGGATTCCAGAACAAAGTACAAGCCGATCAGGGAGTTGCCGGGACTCCGTCCTGCATCACTTTGGGGCAAACCTCCCCACTGAAAGGTGCCAACGCCAACCCCACGGGCTTACATGGGCGGGTAGGAGGTGGTGTTCTTCACAAAGTGCCACGGCTCTGCAGGCTGCGGCGGAGCAAACCTCAGGGATCCGATCGGGTGGCAAAGGGCACTCCAGAACACGGCCACAGGCTGTGCGAATCCTTCCAGTGGACGTGCTTCCCCGACTTGCCATGCACGTGGCCACCACAGGCGGCGAGGACGGGCGACCTGCTGACAGTGAAGGAAATGAGGACCGTCGCAGCTGCAAGGCTGGACTGATTCCAGGGGGGTTGCCACTTTCTAGGCGTGTGACATTGAATAAGTCACCTAAGCCTCAGGCCTCAGTTTCTCCAATGTGAAAAAGGGTGAGGTCACTGTCTTCCTAACTCACAGACGTGTTTAAGGAGCAAATTGAATAGAGGGAAAAGCACCCAGTCAAAACAATGAAGAAGGAGAGCTGCTGGGAAGAACAGGTCACTTGTCTCCCTCTGAGAAGCCTCTGGAACATCATATATACATCCTGCACTGGCCGCATGCAGGGTGACAGGTGAACAGGAGGTGCCCTGTTCCAGGACCACTGAACCTCACAGGGAGATGAGCCATGTACACGCTCGACCTTAAATCTGGAAAAAGTTGTGGTATCCTGGGAAAAGGACCTTCACTGCTTCAGAGGTAGAAGAGGGGGCGAGGCATCTGACTGGGGCACGTGGAGTGGCTGGGACCTGCCCAGGAGGGCTGAATGAGGGGAGATGAAGGCAGGGGTGGTGGAAGCAGAGAGGAAGAATGTGCTGAGGCTCAGAGACAGCAAGATGCACAGCCTGCCCGGGCAGGGCGAGTGGCCATGAGGCACCAGGTGGAGGCTACGGGGAGAGGAAAATGACCCTGGGGATGAAAGAATAAGGTCACAGAGGGCCCAGAATGCCAGGCTAAGGGCTGGGGTTTTATTTCATAGAAAAGTAGCAGCGGGAGGTGTCTGGAGAAGCAACATGTAGGAGACTCTGCCGTGGCTCAGAGTGGGACATGCAGAGGAGAGAGACGGGGCAGAGTCCCGGCTGCTCTCTCTGCAGAGCAGACGATTTCCCCCTGAGCTGACATCCATGTCCTGCAGCTTCCGCATCAGTCCTGGTTCCACCTGCCAGGGGACCAAGCTAATTGTGATTTCCGAGGCAGGTCCTTTCAGATACTTGATATGCCACCCCCCTCCAGCCCTGGCCTGGCTCAAGTGACCTCGATTTCTCAAGCATCCTTCCCAGGATATTTTCTAACCTTTTGTCCTTCCTGTTGAATGCTTTGATTACAGACAAACATTCAACTTGTTTTTCAGTGTGTGTGCACAGAAGAGAAAAAAATAATCCAGAGGTTGTCTCATAGGAGATATCAATGGCTTTAGAAACTCCTTATGTGAAACTTGGTTAGAAACAGTGCCCACGTCTCTGCTATAATAGCCATCCTATACTGTGAACATTTAGGTTGTTTCTTTTGTCGTTGTTGCTAATTATTACAAATAACACTGAGATGAACTTTCTTGGAATGTTGTTCATTGATGTGGTAATAGGGGTGGCCCTGCAGGTGACACTTGTTTTCTTTGCGATTTCCAAATTTTTCACTGAACATAGATCCTTTTTATAATTAGAAGACAACTGTTATGAAGAACATAGCAATGTTTGTAAGGAATTTTGAAGACTTTCCCTGACCAGATGTAGGGACGTGGAAGGAAGGAGATAAAAGAGCTGGCTTGTGAGGCTGGGTCCAATGCAGTCATTTTCAGTGCAGGTGTCAGTGAGACATCCTGGCAGAGATTCCACAGCACAGGCACTTCAAGATGGAAGGTCGGGTGAGTGGCAGGGTAGGACATCCACCAGAGGGTGAGTGAGCATCATGGAAGCAGGTGACCTCATCGAAGAGGCCAGTTGAGAGAGAAGAGAAAAACAAAAGAGAAAGCTCAGGGACAACTACAGCTGACACTGGGAATATGCATCAGAGCAGGACCAGGAGAATGTCAGGGCATCGTGGAAGCCCAGGAGAGAGAAGAGGGTAAAGCAGAGAGGACAGCACTGGGCCTGGGTTTGCGAGCTGTGTGACAGACTTCAGCATGGATAAGTGGCAGAAGAGATGCCAAGGTGAAGGGCGCATGTTGTGGGAGGCACAAGCAAGACGGGAAAGAGCAGTTTCACTTGATGTTACAGTAGTATGTACATAGTGGCGCACTTGCTACATACCAGCCATACATTCCAGTTCCTTTAAATTAACTCTAGAAAAGCCTTGCTAGGTAGGCATCGACATGCCCATTTTACAGATGAGGAAACTGAAGAAGTGGAAGCAGCCTGCAAGGACTTCCTAAAGATGGAAATGGATGGCATTGCCAGGGGTAACAGAGGTGAAGGAATATTCCAGTCCCACATTGGTTCTTTCACACTGCCCTTACTTGCTAGTCCAGGCCTCTCTCTCTCAGAGTCTCCCTGCCAAAAAGAAGACAGAACAGACAGGGCCTGGGCTGTCAGGGCTGATGGGGACCCCGGCTCCAGACGCAGGAGCCAGACATAGACCAGGTGTGATTACCAGGTACCTTGGCCAAGTGCATTCTGCTTTGGATCTCAGCGTTCCATCTACAAAATGGCACAGATGTAGCTCGAGGTCCTCGCTGCCCCCTGCATTCCCAGTCTGCCACTGTCTTTACTCTCAGCGTTGCCACTGAGGCCTTGCTGGTTCTGGAGCACTGTCTCCCGGGTCCAAACCGTCCCAGAGCCCACACGCAACCACCTCCTTGATCAGGTTCCCGCCCTGTGCCACCATCCACCAGACCCCCTGCCCTAGTCACCCAGAGCCAGTACCAGACATCTAGGGACAGCCCTGTGCCCCCAAACCTGAAATTACTCAGTAGCCAGTGCTAAGCCTGCTCTCTCTTCCAGGGAAACCACAATAAAAGCCCTTGCCCACCTCCCAATCCTCTGACTGTTCTGGTGCTTCCCCTTGTACCCGCCCAGCCCTCCCAGTGTGCCCTCCTCCTGGGAACTGTGACATACTATCTTTTCTGTGCAACTGGCTTCTGATACATTGCCTGACCAAACGTCAAATACTCTATTTATTCGCCACATTTATAAACAACTACTTCATTTATCCAACCCTTCCCTGCACTTCCTCTATGCCAGGCACTGTCCTAAGTGCTCTAGAAACAACCATGCCATCCCCACACGGCCCGATGCAGTGGGAGTGTCAGCACCTGTTTCAGAGAGGGGTAACCGAAGCACAGAAGCTAAGCACCTTGCCCAGAGACACGCAGCTAGGAGTGCTGAGCCACGATTCAAACCCAGGCACTCTGGCTGTGAGTCCTTGCTTCGATATTCCTCTGTGCTACTCTCCGTGATCCAGCCTGGATCTTAGAATAGTAACCAAGGAAATGAACTGAAGCTCCAAATTCGCTCATTAGCCCACCACCCCTGCCTGGCACATGCGGTGCAGCTGCGGGCTCAGGGTATCTCCTCCTCTGCCTCTCAGCACTGGCGGCTGGCTGGCTCACCGTCCGAGTCTAAGTCCAGGTCCAGAGGCGCACACCTCCGCACACCCAGCCTGTAGTGCATTTCCTTGTACGCACTCTGCTCACCTCGCCCCAGAGATTCCCAAATTGCACCCTGGTATGTTGTATTAAAGAGTGAACTCACCCAACAGCCTGGAAGTGGCAGAAGTTGCCCAGGAACAGACATAGAGCCACATCGTGGAACTGAGCAGCTCCCAGGATCTGTGCTGTCCGCGTCTAGGTGTGTGCGGAGGACGGATGCGCCCTTCCCGCCCAGAGGCCTAGCCGGCCCTGGAGTTGCCCCTCACCCAGCCAGGATCTAACAGGGATAAGAGAGACTCTCTCCACTACCAAAGATCTCCCTGGACTTTCTGATGGAACCTCCAAGACAATGCCGACTCAGTTCAGCCTTTATATAACAAGTCCAGACTGAACTCTCAGATACAGTACCACAAACTTGCCAAACACTTGTACATAAGGGTTTCTTCTTTGTGGGTCCTAACCTTCCTGGGGGGAGCTTCCCAGTAGGCCAGGCACAAGCACGGCAGATGCCTGTAGCAAGGGGAGGCAGGGTCCCCGAACAGCCAGAAATATGCCACAGCACTCCACAGCCCCACAACTGTAGCTGGAACTTGTAGGACCATCTCTACTCCCTGGGCTTGTATATTATAGAGTTCTAGGCTCTCGACTTTAGAGCGATTTAAATTCCACTCCAGTCTCCTAATAACCTAAAGTTGCTTTAACAATTTCCTGCCAACTGTACAGGCTCCTGTCCACCCTCAGGTCAGGGAATTTGCTACCTTTCAAAGAAGCGGATTTTTGCGACAGAAGTAAAAACACTTTATTTCTCCACAGTGCCCCCGTATAACCATCATACCATCTATTCGTTCTTCTGAACATTATCACAATGTGGTACTTGGCTTGGTGTTATGGGATAACAGGTAAAACTCCAAGACGATGGTTCCATCTTATAACGCAGCTCACCATTAGAGTAAGGACAGATTTGGGGGGGGGTTCAATGATGTGAAAGCACAAATTAGGGGGATACACAAAGTGCTCTGGGTATACCTGGGAAAGTGCCATTTACAAACTCTGGGGACAAGAAGAGAATGCTCAAAGATCTCCAAAGAAATCATCAAATATCTTCGATTAGCGAATTTGTTAAATACACTCTGTACCTGCGCAAGGAATATTACGTACTCACTCAAATTAGTGATGCACATGTTATATGATGACAAGGAAGACAGTCATGATTTAATGCAAAAAGGCCAAAAACAGTGATAAAACTGTTGTGCCTGCTTTGGAACAGTTTCACGGTTCTGGAAGTTAAGACATAGAGTTCTGTATACCTGGATTCTACTCCTAGGTAGATTCTCAGAAACTTGAAAATGTGTTCATACAAAA